ATAGAGATCTGATGCAGCTGAGGACTAAGCTCAACTCCCACATAACAATGAGAAGAAGGAGGTACCTCTGCAGAACGCCCTAAAGGGGAATTTTATCAAAATACCCTGCCTATTCTGGAGCCTCGAAGACGCTTGAACAATCACAGTACTAGAAATGCTTCTGACTTCCCAAATCTATTGACGCATCAAAGTCCATGGGGCAACAGTCAAGAGTCTCATTAGAATGGTGGAAAACATGGGTAAATCCAAAATAAGTAAGTTGGCCAGAAAGGCCTTCCTCTCACTGATCCTACGTGACATTAAAGCATTACCACCTGTTGCTGATGTGGAGTATATGCCTTTGACCCACCATACTGAAATCAAGCATATGGTTAAAATGGTGCTCCAACGACTCCCAACTGATCATTGTGTATACCATGAATCAGATATGTTGTCAGTACACCGACAAGTTGGTTTTAAACTGCAAAGTTCTACTTTTTTGAATAATCACATAGAATAATGTAAAAGCACTACATACCCGACACCCAACCCCTTCCTGTAAGCCTAGGCGGTCATAGACACACCCCCTGGTCTCAGTGTACTCCCAATGCCTGGGTTCATCGAACAGAATTACTAAATGTGAGTGCCTTCTACAGAGAACTGAGGCAGGTTTATTATCCAGATTCCAGACTCATATTGAAAAGGGCTGAAACTGTGTCTTCTAAAACTGAAGTGACAGCAGAAGACGGATTCCTCAAAAACTCATCAGGGTGAAACTGAGACAACCCAGTCACAGGTGGTCAATGCAACGGATTGTCCTGCTGCCTCTAAGTTCATGGGCAGATCAGCAGTAAAAGGAAGGGGAGCATGCTTAGAGCCTCTTCTGTCAGCACCAGCTAAGAGTTGTGAATTTGAATGGTGAATTTGGCCAAAATATTTTGCGTAACTGCAGTAAACATACCAATCAATCAGGCAGAAGACTTAGCCACAAGCTGCAGCGCTAAGGCGGACTCTAATGAGGAGGTGGACTCTATATTCAGAGGGTAACAGGATTCCAGATTATGGGCATCAGTACCTTCAGAAGGCACAGAACAAACACCCCCAGAACCAATAGGGTAATGTGAGCTGAGGTCACCAGTTAAAGAAGACTGTTCCCCTCCTCAGGTACTTATAAAATGTAAGTAGCTGGTAATTGGTGAGGGTTGGATGGCCAGAGGTGACCAATGACACCGTAGGCGAGTAGCAGAAACAGAGTGGAAATGGGAGTTCCATGTGGCTATTTGCAAAGGAGGACCGCAGCAGAAGATGCTTCCTAAAAGCTGAATGGCAGGAAAGAACACGGAGCACTACCAGTAGCTCTGAAGCTGGAAAATGCTCTATGGCTAACTTGTTACCAGAACAGGGTCTGGAAAGCATCTTACGCAGAGCCCAGTGGTGAAGGTCACTTATAAGCTAGCCCCACAACGTCAAGTCTAGCAGCGTCTGGACATGGCACTCCAGTACTAGGCTAAGGAAAGGCTGCTCTGGATAGCTGCAATTGTAGAGACCAGCTCAAGCAGCAATGTAGACATGAATCTTGATTGAAAGTTAAAAAAAGAAAAAAATGCTAGAAAAAGAAAAAAAAAAAGCTGATTGAATATCCCAAATGGGTTCAAAGGGTGGCCTCTAAAGAGCCAAGAGAACCAGGTTGAGATCCCAGTATGTCACCCCCAGCTCAAAAGTCTTTACCAGTGGTGAATAAGCCTGTATCCTGTACTGTATGATTAAGAAAATGGTTAAACGTTTCCCAGAAAAGTTACTCAAAAATGTACTTAAATGTTTACAGTCACGATTTTTATTTAAATATATTTTTCTTCTGCATATGTATTTGGATCTACTGATCGTCTTGTGAAGGAGTTTTTATTGAAAGGGCCTACTGTTTATGCATTTGTTCATAATATTTTAAATATGAAGATCACCAAATTAGTGATGCACCAATACCAGTTTTTCGTATCAAGTACGAGTACTAATATCTATTTTTCTGTACTCGTTAATACCAACTACCGATACTGGTACTTCCGCCAGCATGTATCCGGCTTCCCGGGCAATCAGGAGGCCGGGCGGCATGTCATTACCCATCTTGATTGCACGGGAAGCCGACTCTATGCGGTTTGGCTGGCTCGATGACGATTGGCCTGAAAGCGGGCTTCCCGGCCAATCAGGAAGCTGGGAGGTGGGTCATTACCCACCGAACGGCTTCATGATTGGCAGGGAAGCTAGCTCCATGCTATTTGGCCGGCTCTATGCTGATTGGCTGGGAAGCTGGCTTCCCAGCCAAATCAGAATTGGGTCCTCGTTCCCTCACGGCACTGCCGATCAGCGGAAATCTCCCTATGACCGGAAGTTCCAGTATCGGGGGTAAGTAACGGAGCATTTGGGCGAGTATGAGTACTCGCCCAAATACTCAATATCAGTATCAATACTTCCATACAACAAATTTAAAAAATTGCAGTTGAAAGCACAGGAAAAACAAGTATTCTAAATGTTTACTTGCAGTAATTTTTCTTTACATGTTATTCACTTGCAATGTGCCTTTGAGCTTGCTAGAAAAAACTGGGACCATTTCCAGGAAGATTTCAATTCACTAGCCTTTCCTCCTTGCACATCATAGCCCTTCTTTCTTCTTCCTCTCTCCGCTGACCCAGCTCCACCAACCTTCCCCTCGACTTCCTACATAACCTTTATGTAGCTTCTGGGGGAGGAGCAAAGAGGAACACTATAGGGTCTTTTAAGTTACAGGTAGGGGAGGCTGAAATCACATCCAAAGATGGTGACACCCAGCAGCGGTTTTGAGGCATTAGAATGTCTATACAGGGAAGGTTTTAACAGGTAAATAACACGCATAAAGTATGTTTAATACACATATAATCTTACGGGATTAGTTTTGTACAAATAGTCTGGTGTATCTTTTTAAATTGCACAGAGGTGCATCAGGTTTACATTAAGCTGAATGAAGGTGATCTTTTAAAATGTCATATTGGGTGTTCTTATTCTGCCGTCACTTTATCTATATAAATGAGAATTCAGTATAGTTTACTTTTGCCTCCGGTCATAGATATACTATAATTTTGCATAAGGCAACAGAAAACTAAAGCCCAGACTTGCTTATATAGCGCCCTTGTTTCACAACTTCTCAGAACTTACATGTCGCTCATGCTAGCGCGGCATTCTGTAAGCGTAACTCTGCAGTCCGCTAATGAGTTCTATTCTGGGAATGCAAACAGCTGTGTGTTTACTGGACCTCTAATTACAAATCACTATGGGATCTGTACAGTAGTACAGCTCATTATAATCAGAAATGGTAAACTGCAGACAACTGGATTACAGCATAGTGCTGTCATTAACATGTTGACTGAAACTTGGGCCTGTGTCAAACATGCAAATAAATACTTTACGGAACTGGAATTCAAACAATTTTTATTTAATCCTGGCTAAAGTCATAAAATGTTTTATAAAAAATGATTAACTGTGCTGCCAACAGCAACCTGTCTACAGCAACTAACCTGCATTGGTAAAATGACAGCAGCAGACTGGTTGCAATAAGCAACACACACACCCTTTCCATTTTTTCCCCAACATAAAAAATACCTCTGTGATTCAGTTAGCTGTAAAATATGCTCATTACTCTGTGCAACGTGACAGCAATTAAAATAAAAGTTTATTATCACTTTCAGTTACCGCAGAGATGAAGTGAACGTGTGTTTATATTTAAGGGGTTCCAAACAAGGGTTGCAGCATGCTCACAATTCACATGTGGTGTTTCAGTTATAAGTGTTGTGTGGTGGGTGGAATCACATGTGGGTTCTCTAAAGATCAATTGAAGTCTCTTACCTTTTTACTTCTTCATAGTCCTTTAGTTAAGAAATGTCCATAAATACCTTTTTCTGCTGCTTTATGTACTCAAACTACAGTGCCGTGAACTGGAAGAGCTGAGTAACAGCCACACCCCTCAACCCAAGTGTCCTCACAGTCATGTACTGCAGAGAAAGCCATGCCTGATCTGGTCTATTACATTACTACATACTATTATGTACATTGCACTGGGTCTTACTCTGGCGCCTACCGGACAGCACAGTCATATTTAGACACCTTGAACAGCTGCTGTAACAGGAAAGGTAAAATTGTGGAGGTAAAATTATGAGGTTGGTAGTACAAAATCAACCAATTCTGTCAGGGCTCTAGATGCGAGATCTCCCTGCTACAGTTAATGGCTCTGTCCAAGTCAGTTTTAAAATGTAAGTGTTCTCTGTTGTAGGTGTTCCCAAGTTCCTTAAAGAAGAACTTAACGTAGATAATTTCCATGCATACGCAGAAGAAACAGCTGCCCAGCCAAGTGACTTTGAAGTCTTGTCTGCGCAGCTCCCCGAAGGCCCCACAGTGAAAATCTAGTACGAACGTGGAAATGTGAGTATAAGACTTTGAGGGGGTGATGGAAAAAGAGGGTTCAGTTTAAAGATAATGTTAAAAAAGTGGCAAAAGCCATTATTTCAACAAATTAAATATAACATTCAGTAATTTTAGTGGAAACAGAAGCATTTGGCTGTCTCCAATCATAAATCTTCAATGTATAGGTTCAAAAAGCCGGATTTACGATTGGCTGCCACGGACTGATGACTCATCAGCACACTGTTATTATTACAAAACCAGGCAAAACAAGAGATAACATGCCTGTTTTTATTCCATTTTTAAGACTTATGTTGATTAGGCAACTATGAACCATTCAGCAACAATGAACAAGATATCAATGAGAACTTATTACCAATATGGCCAACAGACCCTTTTTCCGAGTGTCCCTTTGCAAAAATGTTCTGTTACATTTTGCTGATTCCAAGGCAACAAGAAACATACGTACAGTGGTTATTTTGACCATGATATGGTCACATCTGCCCTTATCATACAAAATTGGTTGTTTGGAAGTAACATGATGCTGTATTTGTAAAATCTGCTTCTGTTGATGAATGAGGGCAAAGAGGTGGACTTACCAATGCAGGTTCTGCCATCGGAGTGAAGAGCGTATTTCTGGTGGCAACCACACACGGGGCCGGTGTCTGTGTCATCGCAGGAATGCTGACAGCCTCCATTTCCATAGTTACAGGTTACTACGTAGGCCCAAAAGATACATATACAAATGTAAACAAACATTCATTACAAAAGTAAAAATCAGTCTTGTAGTTTAATTCTTAGATGGAGCACAAGACAAACTCTTCCATAGCATTACCAGGAAACGTGTTCCTTTAAAGACTCCAAATTTGCTTTGCTTAACAACAGTAAGACATGTTAAAGAGAGGAAAAGTTAGAATCTTCACATCAAACAACAGAGTATGAAAGACTGCTGTATCAGCAGATGGTGGTAAAGTAGAGATAGGTTGTGTTTAGGAATTATCAACTGACCACAGGCTTTAGGGCATGCTGGAAACTTTTGTTGACGCATAGCAGGAGTGCTTTTGAAAGTGTAAAGGGCCGCTCAACCCAAAGCTGATATTTCAGAGATTGATAGATGCTGGAAAGTTAAAGCGGAACGAAGGTCTTTAATTGGAAAATGGCTAGCAGGAAGGTTTATGGCAGAAGTGATTATATGCCTCTTCTGCCATTAAAATTCTCCTGCCCTTCTAATTGTACTTGGAAATACACATGGGCAGCTCAGTGTACAATCTGGGCATGCCGTGAGTGCCGGGATAAAGTAACTCTCATGCGCATGTGACCAATGTCAACCAGGAAGAGCACGGACGTCACATTCTAGGAGGAGAACATTTTGAGAGGTAAGCTGTGCTGTAATGTTCAGTTAAGCGGCCTATTTGCACATTAGGGCAATGTAAAGTTCAGCTTTCAATTACCCACTTTATATCTTTTGGACACCATTTGTGAGATCTCTGTTCTGAGTTACCAGGACTGCATACCTGCTGCATCCATTATTAAGGGCTCCCACCATCCCTGCTTGATTGTTAATTTGTTTTATATTATGAAGACTTCTACCTATAACTAAACTTTGGATCCAATGACCCTTTTGCTTCCCTTTTGAACATAAAATTCGCTTGGATTAAAAATAAGACAGGAAGGCATGGGCTGATATACGCTTTCAGGAGTGCTTCCATGTTTTACATTGTCAAATTTCCTGTTGTCTAAACAGAAGTTTTTAAAAAGGACAAACATGTTTAACTTACTGATGTCTCCTCCCTTCCCTGTGCCATCAGTTACTGTCACACGTTATTGTTGGTTTTCACTATGTTTTGTGGCTTGGTACATTCCACCATTCCCCCCTCCAGTTATGCCCTGGTTAGACCAGACCTTATTTGCCATTCCATGCTTCCCTTGCTCAATTTTTTTTCTTTCTTGCCCTCATGGAAAAACAAGCTCCCCTCATAAAATGAGGAAGCATATTGTTCCATTATGCTTCTTTACCTTTAGCAAATACTCTGAAAACATGCTTGTAATCTGAAATAAACTGCATTGGATTTCACTCCTCTTGGTGAGTTGACACTGCGTGTGGAATTCTGCCAAATCAGCAAGTTGTCATACTTTCTGCACAACCTTGGTCTTAGGAGGTATGTTCAACTGCACAAATCGGCAGTTGAAACAGAACAATTATACCACCACACTGATGTTCGTGTCAGGAGATTGTGACCGATAGTAGAGATCAGATAGTTCCTGCAGTATTATCTACTGAACAGCTGGCTGAGACACCCATCCTCTCTACTCTACCTCCCATTTGGCACCGCTTCTGAACCATTTAAGCGGCACAGAAAAGAGGGTGTTTATATCAAAGTGAATCTCTACTATATTTATCTTGATATGACATATCACACAGTGCCAACCAGAGGTGGAAACACTCCAGCATATTAAGCAATTTGGCTCAACAATCTATTTGTATGCTGAATCCCAAAGAGCCCTTGATGTCTAGAAGGGATACATGCTAAGTAGTCCCTATTTGGAACTCATGTACAAATTAAATATATTTAATTAGATCTCCCTCCTTCATGCAAGAGAAGACATTTAGCAGAGGCAAGCTTTCCTATAGTTTCTAATGACAAAGGTGTTGAGATCTTTCAGTATACAGTTTGTTTCTGCACGTCTAGAAACGGATCCCTTAAAGTGACCTTGCTGTCATAATAACATTGTCCAGGAAACCTGTACCTGTAAAAGAAGAGATAGTAAATACTTACTTCTCCTGCTACCGACAAAGAACACCACTTCATTAATGAAAAATAGCCCCCTGAACTTCCCGGAGTTGTTGAGCTCTTTGGTCCCCGGCAGAACTCACTTGTTCTTCCTGCTGACCTTTACATTACTAGAGGACACAGTGGTGACATGGTTTTTTTTTTTTTATCATTCCTATTTTTATTAAAGTATTTTGTTTTCATACAGAAAAAGTGACATGGAGTTTGGAAGTAGGAACCATTGAGAGCTGCAATCAATCTATTGGACGATGTCTAGAGAGGCTGCAGGCAGCACAAAGACATGCACACAATTGAGATCAGCCAGATTAGGCAATTACCTTATCATGTCTGAGCATTTTAAAAGGAAACCTGTAGTGGAAATACACAAGAAAAGCTGAAAATAGGAGAGAGACACTTGCTTATGTCTTCATTGCACTTGAAAGCTCCAGAATCCACAACACCCAGTGAGCTATTGGCAGTTTTTAGTGCCAAAGTCAGGTCAATCAAGCCCCCTTCAGACCATAGACTGCCCATCTACCAATGCAGGTCACTGAGGCCCTCTAGCCAATAAAGAGACCTGCAATGCAGAGCTCCTACTTCTCAGATGCAAGTCAAAATGTACTTACAGAATATCCCAGTTTCAGTGAACCCAGGGCAACTAGGGAAATAAATAGCACCTCTCAGTGCCTATTTTGAAAGCAAACTCAAAGTGTACAGCCCACATTAATCTAATATGCAGGCCTTAAAAAAAGTAGGGAAGGGATGTAAAAGGCAGCAGTAGCCTACTGTCAGCTTTGCAAAGCAAGGCTCACTTTCTGCAGTTCCAGATAATCTAACCTGAAGGAGGTATGTTAGGGCACATAACCGACAGCAACTATACTATACTGACATCTGTACAGTCATAAAGGAATCACTAAACCCAAAAACACAATATATTGCAGCTTATACGAGATTAGATTAGGGCTGCAACAACTAAATCGACATAATCGATTATAATCGATTATTGAAAAAGTTGTCAACTTTTTCAATCATCGATTAATCGGCTTCCGATAAGTTGGCCCTGTTCCCAGCTCCACACACGCTGCGCGCCGCACCTCCTCCACACCTCACGCACGCCGCTGCCAGACCCGACAGAATCAATGCTCCACACGCCGCACCTCCTCCCCGCCTCACGCTCACCGCCCGCCCACATCCACGATTGGCACAGGGACGCGGGGAGAAGAAGTAAGGAGGAGCAGGTGTGAGGGGATGACAGCTGCCGATAGACAGGCCCGATCTCAGAAGCAAGTTGCTGGAAGACTGATCAGGTAAGCCTGCACTTTCCCACACATGGGATTTGTATTCCTCTATAGCTGATGGTACATTGTGCTGTATATTATACAGCACAATGTACCATCAGCTATAGAGGAATACAAATCCCAGCAATACATTACACACTGTATGTATAATGTATTGCTGGGATTTGTTGTATTCCTATATAGCTGGTGGTATTCTGCATTGTGCTGTATAGAGGACTACAAATCCCAGCAATAATACATTATACAGTGGTGCAATGGCGAATACCACTAGCTATAGTGGAGTACAACAAATCCCAGCAATAGTACATTATACAGCGCAATGCAGAATATTGCCAGCTATAATGTACTTTTGCTGGGATTTGTTGTATTTCTCTATAGCTGGCGGTATTCTGCATTGTGCTGTATAATGTACTATTGCTGGGTTTTGTAGTCCTCTATAGCCGGTGCCATTCTGCATTCATTGCTGTATAATTTTACACTTTTCATTTCACTATATTGCACACCACTTTTTTTTATTTTTTACTTCCACCGCTCCAAACTTGCTCTGGATTAGATATGGTGGATGCATTCATTTTCTTTTTTTTTAGGCTAAATACATTTTCCCATCACTTTCTGTGCACCAAACCAAGTTCTAAAACAATGTTATCAGCCTTCCCGACCATGTTTTGTAAGCTACAAATCCACCTACGCCACCCCCCATGTAATGGAAATAAGGAGAGGTGGAGGTGTTTATAGTACAAATTTGGAGAGCAGCCAAGGGTGACAAAGTCGCTCCTTCATGGAAAGGGTGAGGATTGTTGTCAGCCTAGGACAGGAAGTGCGTTACTGGTACGATCACTAGGTGGAATTTTTTTAAAAAATGCCTGAAAAAAAATGACCGATAAGCTGCAAAATATTCAATATTTGTTTTTGGGATTAGAGGCGCTTTAAATGATTTTGATTGAAGACTGTCCTGACATCAGGCCTCCGTAAACTGCTACTGCATGATCAAGCGCTAGAACCCTCCCTATGCCTTCTTGCTTGATTTAAACAACCTATCTGTACAGTACTGCTGATCTCGGTTTTTAAAGTTTGCTACCATCACAGGTTTACTGTAAAGTACAACTCTGGCCAGGCTGCGAACATTTACAGATGTTCATATTCTTACCGAGATGTACTGTAAATGAGCTTTAAAACCAGCACTCACTGACCTCTGTAGCTGCAAGCACTGTGGAGCAATTCACCCTCAAAGACCCAAATTGAAAGAAATCAATGCTTTTTTTGTGAACTATGAGGATGAATTGCTCCCCAGTGTCTACAGCTATAGAGATTAGTAAGGGTTTAAAATAAAGTCTATTTAGTGCTTGTGAAGAATATCCAAATTGCGTTCACATCTGAGGTCTACTGCAGCTCATCAAAAGGAAAAGGTATACAGCAGCCAGTCAGATACTTTATATTTAATTTGGCACTACCTACACATATTTGTGGCAGGTCACAGTACATTTATTCAATGTAATTAGTTTTTCTGTTGAAGCCACAAAAATATTGCCTGAGCTGATGCATATGCTTGATATCAAAGGCTGAGGATATCTGAGGTAAGATCAGTAATTATTACACACCTGGGGCTTTGTGCATACCTGCAATAGCAAATTTGGATCAGTATTTTAGATATGAAGTTTAAATACAAATGCAGGTCATTAAGAGGAAGTGGGAGAGGTTGAAACCAGAAAAGTGGCATGCTAAGGATAGCTCACTTGTGTTAAAGACAGTAAAGGGGAATACTGCTGCAGGTTACAAGTGTAATTTATTTTATTACAACTATTTGTTATGTATGGGTTTCGGAGTTAAGCCAGCGTGAGATGTTAATGATTACTGCAAATTACTGTTTTAATACCATTGCCCTATCAACAAAATATTCTGCTTATTTAGGGTTTAAATACAGTGGGAAAAATTAAATAAGGCCCTTGCATACATTCCTGGTGGTGTGGATATAGTTGGAAGCTGTGCGTCGAAATTGGGAAACCCGTGCAACATTTTATTAGTTCCACCGTGTACTAGGGAATATGCACCGATACCAAGTATCATACTCGTACAAGTAAAAGTACAGATACTTTTCGAGCTCCAAGACTAGACTAGAGAAAAATGCAAAAGCTAGGAGGCAGCTGTCATTTGTAAGGAGCACACAGAACTCCTGGGATTTGTATATCTCTGGTTTAATGTATGATTTTGTTTTTATAAATATAAATAAAGTGATGCACCGATACCATTTTTGCAAGTACAAGTACTGATACATTTTTGTTTATTGTCTTGTGACAGTTTTTCTAAAACAATATCGCCTAATGAATTCAGGACAGTGGTGGAGTGCCACAGCCAGGTCCCAGCTGCAACCACTGCAACCCTGGTAGTTCTCATGAAAATGCCAAGTATCTGCACTGATATCTGAAAAGTATCGGTGCATTCCTAGCGTGTACAACAAATTCAGGTGCTTCGAATTTGCAACACTTTTACAGAATTTCCTTATAAATACCACAAATCCATAATACTGCCATATCATTGGTAAGAAAAGTGGATGTAAATAAGAGCTCTTCCATGTCAGAGAAAGTTGGCTGTGTTGCACATTTATTAATTGTGTCACAGCTTTACGACAAAATTAGAACTAGTGAGGACAGTAAAGTCACACACCGCCCCTCTTCCAATCAAACAACGCCTTGTATTTATTGATACATTAGACTAGGTGTTCTTAGAATGACAGCTGAGACGAGCGAACTAGGTACCCCCTATGTTTTCAGAGCAGAGGGGAAGCATCTGAGCACAGCATAGTACCGGATGATCGTGGCCATCACTGTAGAAGTTCTGGCTAATACAGTTCTCTACAGGATCCCCAACAGCCAATCAGGTATCACATATGCATAGTTACAGTGGGCCAAGCTGGACCAAAGTAAATATGCGTAATAATGTATATCTGGAATTCAGCTTCAAAAAGTGCTGGCTATTTCTTTCATTTGGACATACGTGCTGCCACTGTTGGCCACACATTCTTCTATACTTACTCTGGGTGACAGTGTGGGGCAGTATGTCAAATGTTACATACAAGCTGCAACATTTGCTGCACTACTGCAAGACAGATTTCTAATGAGCTTCTACTACACACTTTATATATTTCACAGATTGTGTTCCAAGGTGAATTCCCATGAAGTAAATATATTTTATACAACATGCACCTGGAGGTGCCCACAACAGTGCACCTCAACCATATACCCACGCGGTTGTCATGCAGCCCCATTCATTACAATGATCGCGTTTGACTGGCGGCACCACCTGCCATGCTGTATGTTTTTTGTACGCAGCACTGATTAGCCGCAGTGCTGAAATTGCAGCAGGCAGCTAGGGAGGCGGTAGAACCGCAGATCAACTGCCAGGTTTTACCTCCCCTTTGCCACCCATGTGAATGAGGTTTAGGCTGTATGATTACATTACAGTTCAGAATAGATAAATACTATACTGTAACCATAAGGCAGCAGAACGAGAATTCACCTAAGCAACCACTGAAAGTAGGTGGAGCTGTAAACCACGCAGAGGCCTGACTGATGGAGTTTTCAAAAGAAATAGGATTTCATCCAGCAAAAACTGAAATATCAGGTTCGGTAATAGTTACTTTTAAAAGCAGGTAATTCGATTTTGGCCAATAATACAGGGGGATAAGCAGCACAAAAGAAGAGGGATGAGGATGATGTTGTAATTCATGGCACCAAAGTTTTGAGCATATGACATTCGTGACATGACTAGAAAAAAAAACACATTTTTAGCTTTGATAAGCAAAAAGCAGTAACAATGTATAAAAGTATCTATACTCAGTGTTTTTTTTAGCTTTTAGTAGAATGGGAAAAGATAAGAACCCCTGCTGGGTTATACTGCTATCCAGAGCTCCATTAGAGAGATTTCACCTTACTTCCTGTAGAGGGGACATCCTTTTTACCAGACAGGAAGTGAAGGATCTCTCAAACGGTGCCTTCGACAGCAGGAAAACTTGACTCGGGTTTAGATAGACTTTAATGCTGAGAATTTGAGTACTGCAATTTTTAGAGTCAAATAAATCACTTCAAAGACAACCAAGGCAATTTTTAGAAGTTGAAAAGAGTTTCAGTAATAAGTGTTTCAGATCAATAGAAGAAGCTTCTTTGTGTGCCACCAATAGCCTTTTTCTGCAGATCAAAGATTTTACCACTCATAGGCCCAAGCTAGAAAAAGTTTGTGGTGATTCCCAAAGTTTCATTAGTCAATTAAAGATTACAAGAGGTCTCATCGCCTATCATCCTGGGTGAGACATCTTCCTGTTTATGGCTACCCACACATTCAGGCTTAATGAAGACAAGCAAGGATTGGCGGCAAATGAGCCTGGGGTTTTGTCAAGGTGCCACAAAATACTAATGAAGAAAATGTGCAACTACCTACATGTACAGTCCCTCTGGTTCTTTGCAAGTTCAAAGCCCGGGCGACACTCGCAAGCTACTCCCACTTTCGGCGTCTCTCGGCAAATATGAGCACAGCCATGGTCCTTGTTCATGCAGTTCATGCCTTCTGTAAAGAAACAAAGAAACATCAAAGGGGGAACTTCAACTAACATACTGCGTGTTGCTCTTCACCTTAAAAAGTAGCAAAACGCTGAACGATGTATAGTTCACAAAAAAGGCAGACAGAGAGCAAAGGACTCCAGTATACACCGGTATTGCCTGTGGTCTCCGTGCAGATGTTTTCCCCCCATTTCTGATTTACCATGCCTTGTTCTGCACTGCATCTCTGCATGGAGACAGACATGTTGGTAGAGGTAGGACATATACTTCCTCACGGCAGAGCCTCCAGCAAGAACAACAGTAAGCAGCACAATAGTGACAGCACCAAATCGCATTAGACTAGCAGTTAGAGGTAGCAGTGTCTTAGGCCCCTTTCACACAGCCGGTCCGATTGAGTCCAAATGTGAGTTTTTAAGACGGACCTGATCGGATGGTCAATGCAAGTCTATGGGCAGCCGTGTGTAAAAGGACGAGTGTCCGTTTACACCCGGTTACCCCCAGCTCTGGAGAAACAGAAGGATCAGAGATATGTTTTGCCGCACTGGATCGGGGGTAATTCCCCACAGACCAACAAGGGAGTCGGCAGTTTGACATTCGCTCCGTACTGCTATGATCAGGAGGGGATCTGTGCACAGCCCGTGTGAAAGGGACCTTAAATCTCTCACTGCAGATATGAGGCTGTAGGCACCGGAGTGCCTAGGCACCCTCAGATACCAGGAAGCGCTCTGCTATTTTGTATTACCATGTCTACATTTTCCACTGTAAAGAGTATCTTAACCCAAAAACTAAAATTTTATACTGCATATAGCAGCTTACCAGCCTTTTCCCTCTGCAGGCTTTTTTTCTTTTACTTGGTGAGCTGCCAGTAATATACTTCCTGTTCTAGGGTGACAACACTCGCCTACTGTATGGCATTTATGAAGGAGAAGCCTTGTTACCCTAGGACAGACTACAATCACCGACCCCTCTCACCTTCTCTATAACAGATATAAAAAGATTTCTGTAGACCAGAAAGAGAACTGGTAACAATGGGACTGATAACAGACAGCACAGGCAGAGGGCACCGGAAGTTATCAGGTCACAATAATTCTGGCAGAAACAACAGGTATTTTTTTGTGAGTAATGAACACATTTAAGAGAACATTTTCAATTGCATAGTTAACAGACCAAAAGGGATCCAATAACAGGAGCTCAGTTTTAGGGTTTAAATACCATATAAAGTACATCTAAAGCCAAACCCTCAGTTTTGGATGGAGGGATGGAGGCCTGGAACCCCCAGCAGATTGTCTTTGTTGTCTGTGTTCCCACTAGGGAGATTCACTATTTGATCTGGTGGCCACTGTGCTGTGATTAAAAGTGATGGAGAATCCAAAATTGCTGTCCTGGAACGCGCGTGTACTTAAACCTAACATTTCTGTTCTTCTTCTGGGGAAGACTGGAACTTTTGGCCTAAAGGCAAGCATGACCAACAAAGTGTGCCTCAGTAAATGGGTGGCTATGGTGAATAGGTGGGTGTTGTCTTAAAGGACATGGTGCACTGCAGGAGTAGGTAACCTCAGCACTCCAGATGTGACATAGCTATAAATCCCATCATGCTTCTGCCTCTTGGAGTCATGCCTGTGGCTGTCAGTCTTGCAATGCTTCATGGGAATTGTAGTTACACAACAGCTAGAGTGCCAAGGTTGCCTAGCCCTGGCTTACTTTAACACACCCTTACAATGTACTATCTTGACAGGTTCTTTTTAAGTAGTGATGCTAATTACATTTCATGAGACACAGATAACCACTGGAGGGAGCATTTACAAATCTGTACATAGCAATCCAAAATTGTTACAGCAAAACAAAAATGTGACAGTCATAAATTCATAAGTCCAAATAACTTTCAGGTAAATATTACAATAATAGCTATAATGTCTACTATTGCCTCCCTTTAAAAGTCAGTCCTACAAAAGTGACAAAAACCAGATGAGCTGAGCGAGTCCCTAAATTCTAATATGTCTTTGTGATCTCCATGCCTCAATTTCCTACTTCTCTAGAGGTCAGACTGCAACACTGTTACTTCGTAGCAAGCGACAAAGCGAGAGGCTGAAGCAGGGGACTGATCTGTGCCAGACATTTGTGAACACAGCCAAGAACTGCGGATGGACATTTGGATGGACTGATCCTTCAAACTGCACGATGAGTTAAAATTAGCAATCCCAAACCCATCAGTACACGCCGTCTCTTCTCCTGTCCCCCCTGCAATGGTCCATATAGAAGTTTTAAACTGTGCAAATAAACAAAAACTATAAGAAAATTCAACGGCGTCCCAGATAAACTGAGGCTTCGGCGGGGGATTTAGAGCCTAGCGTGAAGCCTCAGCGATATCAGCCAGAGCTGCTTGGACCGCTGCAGACGTGACAGAAAAGATGGAGCAGGTCACATGTCCCTAGACAAACAAATGAAAGTCTGCTCTGCAGGGACATGTGTTTTCAATTTCAAAATAAAACAGGCCGGGTCAATGGACAATCACCCCCTGCAGATGGGATTGTGGTCTTAAGCACGTGGGATAGTCCCCCGCTCTGCGTGCACATCTGTCATGACACCTCAGAGCTGGGCCCTGTCTGGAGGCTCAGGAACATACATATGCGTCAGCGCATACAACTTTATCTTGTCAGCACTGGGAGAGAAATGATTTGTGGGGCTGGGAGGCTGAGGGGGAGGCTAGAACACTTTATAACTGCCAAACCACATACACACACACCCCCATCTTTACTATTAGGGAAAACACTTCCAACAAAAGCTACACGGTCAAAACAAACAGAATTTGGGAACGCGATTATCTTTATTTTTTGTGTGTATTGCAATCCGTTTTCAACTCTCTGTGACTGAATGCCTTCATAAGAGAAGAGTTTTCAGTCTGAGGGATTAGGTCTTTCACTTTTATTTATTTAATACGGTCACATGAGAAATAGGATGGTTGCCATTGTTAAAAACTCTTTTGAAAACTGCTAGTTTACTGTCTAATTTGAATATTTTATGAGCGACTGACTCCTGCATGTAAATCAGCAAAGTCAAATGACCAGCCAGGCCCCCAGCCTTTCCTGAAACAGAGGCCAGCAATGGAAGCCTCAAAGATGAACATGTTTCCTTTAAAGCCTAACTACAATCATTGTTTTCATGTTTGAAGTACAACTAAACCCAAATCATGTAATATTGAATGGTGTAGGAAACAATGAAAACCCTTTTTTTATGTTTGTCTATCATAACGATTTCCTCATAACGAGGACGATTTCTCATCACTTCCAGTTCTGTAGACAGAAGTAAGAAAAAATCTCTCTGATGTGGGGGAAATGCCCTTTTATACAGATGTCACCCAAACAAGTCTTACTAGGGATGCACCGATACCTATATTGGTGCCGATACTGGGCACCACTTTTCATGAGTTGTCATACTCATGAAATGCCTCGTTACTAAACAACAATACCAGCGCTTTACATTTTTACACTGAAATGGCTGCCTGAGGTCCCGCACTTGCTGGGGACCTCAGCAGCCTTCCTGTGAACTGCAGCATCTGTTTACAGCAACGACCCACACATCCTCCTCCTCCTTACTGGGGAGCCAGGGCGCTACTTACAGTGCTTCTTCCGCCTGCGGACCCATGGCGAGACCCCGCGCAGCCCACCTCAGACCCCCCTCAGACCTTGAAGACATCAGACCGCCAGCCAAGAGCAACACGGAGTATTAAGCATTGCTGTGTAATATATTGCTGGGATGTGCAGTCCTTTATAGCTGGTGGTATTCTGCATTGCTGTATAATTTATTGCTGAGATTTGTAGTCCCTCTACAGCTTGGAGTCAGTGGCAGAACTGCCATGGTTGCAGCTGGGACAGGGCCCTGGCACTCCACCACTGTCCTAAAAAAATAGTCTAAATTGTTTTAGAAAAACTGTCATTACACTAAAAAAAAAAAAAAAAAAAAGTATCGGCAATTGGTATCAGCAAGTACTTGAGGAAAAGTATCGGTACTCATACTTGATCTTGAAAAAATGGTATCGGTGCGCCCCTAATTAAAGGACAACTTGTACTAAAGGAACAACTTGTACTAAAGGAACAGTACATAATTACTAGCTCACTAGATAAATATAAAAATTGGAACTCCAACACAACCACAACTTTAACACCTTTGGAAAGGGCAGGGAAATGACATAACCTCTGTCAGGATATCATTGCTTTGTGTCCCTTGTTTCTGGGAGGGTTTTTTTTTTTTTATTGTTTTCAGTGACCCAACAGGAAGAGACGGGAATGTCCCCAATGGGGACATTGCGATAAAGAGCCTGACACGTCTCACTCAAGAACAAGAAGAAATATTTTGTCTGAAGCTCTACTTTAGATGTACTTTCATTTTAAGAAGACAGGTCTGCTTCAGACCTTCTTATATTAATACTATGTGATAACAACTAGACCCAACATATAAAAAACATTATGCAGTTGGTCTGTTTTAAAAGCCTGGAACAGAACCTGGAACTGTCATAGGAGGTCTGCCATGCATACAAGTGATACACTGTAGAATTGTTTCTTAACCTTAGGACTGCAGGTATCCCATGAAGTGCGAAAGAAACATTTGGTTGAAACTAAGGCAGGAGTGACCGGAGCAGTGTAGCCAAACATTTCTATCACTTGGACAGAGTCCTACTCAGCTCTGGCCCTGAAAACCCCCAATAATCACAAAGTAAATAACATTACAAGACAGCCACAATAAAACACGCATAATACGATCCAAAATCAAGATATACTCCTAGAAAAATAAATTGCCATTTTCTTCCAAACAACTGTATTTCCTGTATGTTCTGTACTAGAAACTTAACTTCAGCTCGGTGCCAAGAGAAGAAGTAAGATGTAATCATTTGAAATTCTGAGTAAGGTTGAAGGATCACTTAGGCTCTATTCACACATGAGCGGTTAACATAAAAAAAACAATGCATTGTTCAGACTATTGCAGCGGCCGTGCAATACCAGACCTGCAAAA